AATTTTTTGCTTTCATATTGTAAAAGAGAATATTTGGTGTTTGCCTACTGTATCATATGGCCTTTCTGAAGGAGACACCAGCTCAGTAAGGTAAACATTAGTTTGAGCAAAATTAATTTGGATTTTGTGTATGACAACGTCTACAACAGTTATTTGTAAAGGTGTACTCTCATCAGAAACTTATTGCTAAATTTTCTAAAGATTTCTGTTTGTTATTTATCATATCTTGACTGGTTAAATAACGACTGGTCGGTCATTTAGATATTCAATAAATTGCTGGGAAGCATTAATATATTATGTAAAAAAGTTATAAATTAAGAAAAAAGTCAACTAAAAATGATTGTGTAGAATGAAAATAGTTAACTCACATTCACAAGAAATGTAAATAAGTGTCAAAGAGTTTGTTGTCAAAACATTAGTCTAAATTTCTATGCTTTCGTTAGGTTGTTCCTGATACAGTAGTTTATAGTTCAATTTAATCTTATATTTTTTTAAAATTATGGTTTTTTCTTGTTTAAGTGAGTCATGTTTGAATGTTTTAAAGATTTTATTGTGTAGAAAAATGAATTTGATAAAGTTTTATTGGTTGAATAAATTTATGTTGCTAGATGGTGATGAATTTTTGCAGTACAAAGTACACTGTCTTTAATATTGACCAAGAGGTTTTCTTGTGAGAATTTAAGGCTATAAAAGGGTCAACTGTACAACAATTGTAAAAATAAAAAATTGAGAAGAATGGAACACGAATAATTAACTGTATAGCACAGAGCTGTTGTGATTTTACTAAATAAAAGACAATTGTATAACAATTCATTAGATATCAAGTAGTCATCACGTATAATTGCCATGCAGAATTGATATTGTTGACTGAAAATGTTTGACCCAATCAAAAACTTTGAAGTATCAATTGTGTCTGTTATGTAAGTGATCAACGCTAACACAGCAGCATATTTTCAATTATAGCGCCAGCTGTATCAAGAATAATTCAAAGAAGAAAAAAATCTTTTACTATAGAAAAACTGATCAATTAAATTTATTTTTGCTATTCCGTTCGAAGAGAAAACACGGTCAAGTAATGCCGAGACTTCTTTTCTGATGTATTTACCGTTGGTGTTGCTGTGCAGAAACTGTTCACCATTATCAGAGAAGAACTGTATGTAATAATGTTGTAGTAATGTTCTGATGATAGGTAATTGAAAATGTCGCTAAGGTTAAACTTATTTGCTATGTCAAACAGCGGTTGATACCTTTTTCAAAAAGAGGATATACAATAAGTTTCTCTCCTTTTTGAATGTACTGAGAGCTAAATATTTAGACAAAAGAGTTTTTTTTCAGTTTTAATATTTGGTAAGTGATTTGCTAAACTAAGTGAAAAAAAAAAGTGAGATAAATTAATGTGACAGACAATAATAAGTTAGCATTATTAACAAATATGTTTCAGCTAGATATATAGCTGTTCAAAAATTAAAGTGGATTTTTGATGTACATTTTATATTTGTATATACATACTGTATATAAATCTGCATTTATCCAACTAATACACACATATGCATTTGTGCTATAAACATTGTATTGGGGAAGTCAAAAGCAATTAGTGTTATACTGTTGATGATGACCTCAAATTGAGTCATCTGCAACAACATTACGTCACGAGATCGGTTACTCTACCCGACAATGTACAACGAATACTACGGGGGTTTGGGGAGGGAGGAGGGCCTAATGATTAACAAATGTTTTTGCCGTCCTAGTTTTTCGCAATTTTTTTCTTCTTCTGTTTCTGCAGTGACATCAGGAAACAAGCTTTAACAAACAAAAAAATTCTTCTTATGCTAACAACCAGCTATCACTTAAGATCACTTCCCGCTTATTAGTTCCATAGCTGTTCATAGGTCGCTTAATTTTTTTATAAGTGTAATGCCAAAAAGAAATTTCTTTTTGCTACCGTATTCTGAGTGTAAACAAGTACATACTTGTATATGTATTTTTTTCTTATCAATTTATTTATAAAACGATAAGAAAAATGAGTATTTTCAAAGTGTTTTTTTTGCCGACGTATCAGCGCAAAAAAAAAGCTGAATATTGAGTGTTCTCACTTTACAAGTAATAGTTAAACAGTTTCTTTTCTGTACTCTTAATATGGAAAGAAGAAACAGAACTGCCTCTAGTTATGTTTGACGAAAAGTGTATTTACAAAGATGCGGATTTCCAGATCTGAGTCTCAACCGTGCTAATGCTCTTTTTTGAAATTTGCTGGGTTAAAAAGGCAGTTGGTAGACAATGTTCAACCCAAAGCTTTGTAATCAATCGGTAGAACAGCACATCTCGGCATCTAAGCAGCACGTAATAAAAGTTGTGAATGTAGAAGCTTTAATCCACTTCGCCGACCTTCAAAAGTTGCAATTTATTAGCAACGATTTTTATACGTTATAGAATACTGCCAAAGACTACAACGTTTAATTTTATAAAAATTCCCATGTTTCATGAGGTAACTATTAAGTTTACCAGAAAAAGATATGAAATAAAAGAATAGGTTTTTTTTTTGTTTTGGGAAGATTTTATGGACCCCCTGTAGATCACCGATGGTAAAATTTAGCGCTTAACTTATTCGATATGAGAGTGATGCTGTGAGAATGACACTTTTCAACTCCTGTAATTGGTTGTGATGTAATATTCTGCAAGAACACAACTTTATAGCATAGTTCCGTAATTAGTGTGCCTGTCATGAAACCTTGGCTTAGAAAAAGAAGTTACAAAAAGAACTTTTGAACAAACAAACAAACAAAAAACTTTAGTAGACGAAATCGTCAGACAGTATTCACAGAAGTTTCTTCATCAGTCACAATAACTGTAACCTCCTGCAGTTCTTTAGATGCTGCTATAAGCGTAAATTGTTGACCCGTAGTGGCAGAATATGATTACCCAGTGATATCGACCGGTCTAAAAAATTGTGAAACGGCAAAAGATTCTTTATTTTGATTTTAGCAGCAAGCTGAGGTAAGTAAAAGCAACGATATCGACAGCCAACTATCGATTGTTGTTTTGCTGATTTTATTTATTCATGAAGTATTTGGCAATAAAATTTCCCGATGATTCTGATAAATAAAGCATAAAAAAGCTTATTGATACATAGGTGGGTAATAAGATATGCAGCACTATTCATCTTTCCATTATTTCTTTTTTCCTCTGCTTTTTTTGTGATTTTAAATTCAGTATTTGTGAGCAAATCGAAAGAATTTTCTAATGGCGACAAATTGTGCAACGTTACTGAAAATGAGCAGTATTTGTACTTTTTACTGCCTCTAACAGATTTTTCCTCCATATCAATCAATTCCAGATTATTTTCTTAGCTATTATTAAAAATTCTATCCCAGTAGTTGCAAATTTCTTGTTCAAAGTGCTTTCTTCTAGAAATTTTCCCGTTTGTAATAGCTTAGCAGCTGTTACTGTTAATCATAAGGTAGGCAAAAATGTTTTCTTCATAATATAACAAGTTATCGTACTAAAAATCAAAACTGTTAGCCAATGTATAGCAGTTATATATTTGCACTAGTTTATAAATGAGTTATTGAAACAATTCAGAATAGCAGTGGTACAC